TGCATTCATCACAGCAGGTACCATATCAATACTGCGCCGAGGAATATTTCAAATATTAACCAGCTGTTTCACGCCTGATTTCACCACGAGCGTCCATTTCAGGTTAAAATCGCACTTCTTAGATGAGTATCTACCGTCATGAATTCAACCGCATCTTCGATCATTTTTACATTAGTAATTAAATCGCTCTAGTTCCTAACCCCCTGAAACCGCTGACCACAGAAGCTAATACAGTTAATGGCAAACCACACGTACCCGCCTCGATGTCGAATTCGATGAATGGAACTTTCACTAATGCAGCTTGAAGACCAGAGTCGACATATTTTGCTCACAAAGACCCATCCTACATTTTCGTTACCTGCTACAACTGCTCCACACGTTTCCCGTCGGACTGCATTACCAACCTGCTGTTGCTTGTTATCGCCACAGTCGCAAACACTATAATTCCACCACACTCTCAAATCACACGACAGCTGGACCGTCGTTACGGACGATGCCCACTGTGTGCTCCACAGCAAGGTGATGTTGGCAAAGTGATTTGAGTGTGATTTCTTCTACAGTGGTAGTAGACTTGCACAGCATCTAACGCACTCTCTCCTCCCTCCACCTCACCTTGTCCCCGTGTCAAGACACTGTCAGGAAGTCCATTGATATTTTGGCAGATTTTGAATATTTCATATTGACCCAACTGTGAAAAACTCGAGCCTGGTAGTTATCTGGTGGATTCTAGGTGAATTACTTAGGAAATCCTGTTTGGGCAGTCAACTTTCTATATCAGATTTGGTGGATTCCAGACGTTGCAGTAGGTTGGGCGGGTAACTTGACCCAAATGTGATTAAACTGGCGTCGTCCGGCGGGACCTCGTAGCTCAGGTGGTTAGAGCGTTGGCTGCGCTAAAGCCTACCCCTTACTGCGTGGGTTTGAATCCCACCGAGGCGCCGAGTTTTTCACAGTTGGGTCAATATGAACTGTCAGGAAGAACGGAGACAAAGGAGGGCGCAAGTGGATGGCACCGTCGAGTCACAATCACATGCTTTCAAAACGCAGCTCACTTGTCGTGTAGGCGGGTAGAATGCGATTTCGTGATGTGAAGCGGACGCCAGGGAGGCCAATGAACTCGCGCAAACTTCCGTGGGAAACGGCTGCGTGTAAATACCCCGAGTAGATGGCAACTCAATAAATATACACTCAAATCCAATTCTACTGCTAATATCACGTAACATTCACCGTTCCCACTGTTTGAAATTTCCTTCCCCTTCTGACTTGGTGTACAAGCGGGGCTTTATTCAAGGTATGTTTTTTTCCTGAATATTGACTTTTGTGGATTTTTAAAATTCCAGCGACCAGATGCTTCGCAAAGTGGCAGCGTACTATGAGACTGTCTGCAGGAATTTACCTATTTCCTGGGCTTTCTTACCATTCGTTTTGTGTGTTGCCCCAGCCGGAAATCTCCCCCAACCACCATTCAGCATATGACACGATACACAGGCAAGCTAAATTTATTTCACGTTCACACAACTTATCTATATCCCTTCACCAAATTAAACAGAAGACTGAGGATACGCACTTACGAGCCGAATCCCTCGCATCTGCGCCATGCAGCGGCAGAACATCGGCGAAACGCGCGCGTATGGGCTTTTGGCTAGTACCTGTGTTGTTAGTATGGTATCACCTTACCCTGAAGTATACTGCTAGCTGCCTGTCGGCAGTTAATGAATATTATGCGGTTACCCGCTGTGGCTGATGGACTTTGGCCAAAATATTCGTGCATCCAATTCTCGATCTAAGCCTATAGACCTTGAATAGACTGATCTACCACAACTTCGTGGATACTTTCTGAAGAAATTAAAAAGCGACTGTGAAAATCGTCACATTCACCCATGACGACCCCCACCTGGAATCTGCGAACGGTCACTTGGAGATTTTCGTCGTTATAGGGTTCGCACAGAAGGTATTCTGGGCTCAAATAAATATTTAACCAGCATAGAACGCATCCCCCAGTCACGCCAATCGTAATCTGTCCGCCACACATATGGGACAAGCTACTTACACCTTTATAACCCGATCTAACTCTCTGGCACCTTGTGAAGACAACAACAGTAATCACGATCCAGTCGCATTTTAGCGGAGAAAGGTAAACACACCAGTGGGAGCAGTGTATTCTGTACAGAGAAAGGCTGTGGTTTTTACAGGCTAGGAAGCGCGTCTGATTCTAGGGCTGCAGGCCTGCCTATCAGCTGAGAGGGTGTAGACATGAATGCACGTGTAGTGGTAGAGTCAGTCGCCGTAAGCTTGCTCAGTCGACTGAATGGCTGTGGATTTTGGGGACGGCTGTGATTGGCCGCTACTAGTGGCTATATGTGCGCATGCTCCGGCCGCTCAAAAATCGTGATCGCACGATTTCCGTCATCTGATGCGTTCCTGACGACTGCCATCGTGTGCTCCAGAGCTGGCACGGTGACTTGTGCGTGAGTTAGTCAATAGCGAAAGTAGACTTGCGATGCATCTACCGCACTCACTCCTCCCCACTCCCCACCTCTGACCTGACATTTCATAAAACCAAACAGGGTCGACGACTGATTCAGCGCATATCCAACACAACCACACCAACTTAAGAGTAAATAAGTCAAAAATATGTCTGGCAGGTGAATGTGCTTTTATTCACATGTAGTCTGACAGAACACAACCAGAGGACATATCAGAGTTCGCTGTTTGCCTATTCTTCCAGATTCTTCAAGTAATTGGCCAAACGGTGACGGAGGCGTTGTCTCGCTGCAATTATGAAAAAATAAGATGCATAAAAATGCGCACTTTTTCTTAAACATGGGCATCTGATCACCAAAATAAATAACTCAGTGCACTCACCTTGTCCCATTATTGACAGTAGGTCCTCCAGTTGCTCCACAATCTTCTTGCCAAGAGGATCCTCCTTAAAGAACCTCTGCACACCGAGGATTCTCTTCATCAGCCGTACCCTGAGGTTTTCAGAGGGTTTCTAATGTGCGATAAAGAGACAAAGTGACACAAAGGACAGTTGTCAGTTAAAACGCCCACGAAAACCTGATAAGAATTCCATTCATATGCAGACAAACCCGACCGTGCCTTCATCAGCCCTGAACGTATGCAAACCTACCTCACTAGATGGGGAAGAAAAGGTGGTTAAATGACAACCGTCAAAGTTGAAACCTACTCTTCAGCAGCCACGACGACAGCCAGGACGGCAAGGAGGACCAAGATGCAGACCTTCATTTTGACACTGTGTGAGTGCGGACTGATTCCGGCCACAAGTCAACGCACCGTCACATTTATAGGATTAGGAGTACTAAGGGGGAGGGGGTGTGTGTAGGCCGGAAGTTGAAGAGTGCACCCTGACTAATGGCCTATTCGCTGCAGAATCCAATTAATGGTGCACCCCTGGCATCAGCACACACACATATATAAGTGGTTGCGAACACGACCAAATTCGAAGTCGTCGCCTGCCTCCAACTGCCAAAATGCGCATGCTCATTCTTACCCTTCTGGCTGTCGCCGTGGTTGCCATGGCTCAGGAGTAAGTTCTGATTTCTGAACACCATCTAACCACTCACTCTTCCTCCTTTAGAGAGGTAAGTCGTCACTGCAGCTGCTGAATTACATGCCCATGAACAGTCCCTATGCCTGAGGGTTCTTGTAGTTATTTGATTGGTCAGGTCAGGTCAGGTGTAGCGATTGTCTGCCTGCATGCTCCGGTATGCCACGAAATGCATTAGACCGTGCAGCACTTGTAGGTCTATTTTAATCACAGATGACGCCACCCCAAGTAGCCATTAGCGCATGAGCGGACGGAGGATTGCAGCAAGCCAAACAGAGATTGATAATGTGACCGCACTTGAGATGCCTGAAGTCGTACCGTTACCTCCTTTGTTCGTAGCAGTTGAAGCGATGTGTTTATGAGTAGTTCTGTTGTGCTCATCGTCAGATAATTGGTCGACAGTAGTCATTTGGTATAAGTGGCTGTCTGCTGGGGAGTGAGGTGTCAGGTTGTTTCCAATGTCCAACGCTAAGCACACACTAATGCAGAAATCTCGTTGATGCACCAGACCAACCCCATCCGCGCCCTGCGTGCCCGTCGAGTGGCCGTGATTGCCGCACTTGAGGACTACTTCGACAACAACCCCCTCGGACAAAAGATCGCTAAGCACATCGTAAAGACCAAGGAAATCATCCGTGAAAGTATGTCATTCTGATTATATTACCAAATCATCCAATTAATTTTAGTTCGCCAGCGACTGCGCAAACGCCTTGCTGACTACATCAACAACATCAAGGCTGAATGAGTTTGCTCGATGTCTGCCTTCTCGCATGTTAACTTTGTTTAAATGTCTTTACATGAATAGACATCATCTGTTCACTTGCCCGGTGTTTAAATTTTTATACCTGGAACATTGGTGTTTGAAGGGTCATTTGGCGAAAATATTTTTTCGGTAGCTCACCATCAGGCCGATACATGGGTGATGATCATGCTAATTGTAGACAGGACATAAGTGCGTCTCAGGGGCAGGGTTAATCGGACTCCATGTTCCCACGCAGCCCGCATGACGGCGTCAGCGTGTTGAGGACGGTGGAGTTGGGGTGGGAGGGGGGGGGAGAGGGAGAGGGGTTCCGTTTAGATTGTAAGTGCGTGTGACTGCTCTCAGGGCGTCGGACGGCATGCAATCACTGTCTGGAGTCGGCCAGGCCAGACAGACTGCTTGAGTCAGCGTCTTCTGACAACAGAGTGCGGAGTTCGCTTGTCAAATGGCCGCTGCTTCGGCTGTGGCTGGCACACGTTTGCGCAGGCCTTAGAGTAGTGTGCCGGTGCGGGGTAGAAAAGTCCTTTAGCGTCGGTTTGGTGGTTCGTATCGATTAGATGCGCGAGAAATGAACTCGAAATCGATCGATGTTCACCTCTACCTAGCCAGGCAGGCATGTGTTCGCGTATCCTCTTTTCCAGATGCCTGGTTGTACGGCCAAAACATCCCGCTCCACAGGAGCAGGTGAATGAATAAATACACGTGGATGTGGCCTGTAACGGCAGCCGGTCTTTGCCTCCCAACCCTATTATGGGGAGTTTAGTGGTCGGCTTGGTGGTTCGTATCGATTAAATGCTTGAGAAATGAACTCGAAATCAATTGATTTTCACCTCTATCTAGCCAGGCAGGCACTCGTTCGCATATTTTCTATCCCAGACGCCTCGTTGCACGGCCAATATATTCCGCTCCACAGGAGCGGGTGAATGAATGGATGTGGTCTGCGACGGCAGCCGGTGTTTGCCACCCAACAGTAGTATGGGGGAGTTTGCGAAGAATAAACTCAAGTTCGCTGCGGGGAAGGCACTCGCCAGAGCTGTCCTAAGACGTCGTCTCATCGTCCTGATGATGAGTTACCGAAAACATATTTTCGCCAACTAACTCTTTAATCATAATTTGGCAATTTTCCCAGAACATTGGCGTTTGTCAATAATTGGTATTTCGATTTCGTAGCGTGCACGCGACAGGTACAGTAGGTGGGCTAACTCATGAAATGTCAACTGAAATTCCGAAATGCGTTTTCGTTTCGAATAGGGTTGTAGGACTAATCATCATGCAGCATAATCCATCAATAATTCCGTTATCATAGGATGCCGGCTTTCGAACGAACTGCTTTTTGCTGCATGCAACAACTATAGTCAGTAACTACGTCTACTTATATTTTATGCATTTTTTTCATTGATTTTCGACACTTAAAAATTCAATTATATTTCTTGGCAAACGTGCATGAAAATGTTCATTCTCTTGCTCATTCGGTAGAAAATTACGTCTTTTTCCAATTTTATACACGAAATAAGTGAATATTTCGGTTTTTAAGTACTTTTTCATTTCCCGAATAATTTTGAACCCGACCTGCCATTTTACTTGCATTCAGGGTTTCAAATCTGCAAGCCGTATATTTTCCGCGTACGGTAAACCATACATTTCTCTACGGTATTAAGAGTGGGCTGTATGGGGTGGATTTTGACAATGTTGTTAACTTTACAAGCCACACTGGTAAATGCAGAGACATGCAGTTTTATGAACGACCACTTTACGTTATCAAGAAATCTCACAATTGGAAACTTTCTCAAAACCAAATTATACCCTTCTTTCGAGTATAACATTGGAAGGAGGCGTAGTTTTCTACCGAGCGAATAAAGTATGAATATTTTTATGTATTTTTTTCATGAAATAGAATTGCGTTTTTAAGAGCATCGAAAATCAATGAGAAAAATGCATGCTACATCCTTAGTCATTTTTTTACAGAGCATAGTTTTTGCATGCAGCCGGAAAGAAGTTCTTTCGAAGGCCGCTATCCTGAGATAACTGAATTATTATGAAATTATGCTGGACGATGATGAGTTTCACAACTCTACTTAATTAATCTTTTCGAAACGGAAACGCATTTCAGGATTTCGGCTGACATTTCGTAAGTTAGCCCACCTACTGGAAGTAATACTGGGCGAAGTATTTTGGAGTGACTGCGATATGTGTCGATGATACTGTCTAAGAACGATAAACAACTACATGTGGCTTGGCTAACCATAAGTCAGAGAAGGTATAGGATGTTGGAGAAGATTTACTGAGGCGAGAAAATGTATAGGTGCTTAAGCAGAGTTGCAGTATGCGTTCTAACCAAATGAGTGAGAGTTGAAGTGTGTGCCCCCCGTTAGCTCTGTCCTGATGCATCAAATCAGCGTGGATTTCCTCCGTGGGTGGTACAGTCTCCTTTATCCCACCCCGACATCCGTGTAGAGGAAGTTGGAGAAGGCGAGGAATTCCCCAGTCAGTATCGCCGTCTAGTTCCCAACCCGTACAGCTAATGTTTTGTTGAAAGCGTCTTGTAGGGCTTCCTCTGCGGTCTCACCGTTTCATAATCTAGGTCACTGCGTCGGGAAAGTTACTGCGGTCAACCTTGGGGAATGCCAACTGCACGGAAGACTGTGTACATCCACACCCCTATCCCTCTCACTAATGCCACGAAGCGGACGTAAATATGTGCAGTCATAGGAAGAACCTAAACACTACGAACTTCAGACCCGCTCCCTAATAGAATGAGAAGGTGCTGAACGCCAGTTTGGAGGACGTTTTTTTCTGTGCAGAAAGATGGGATGAGTTGTTGGGATAAGTCTGCAGCCGGATTAGCAAGCACGCCCCGCGCCGAGGAGTGCGTCATAGCGCCATGAGCAAGAGCACGCATTGGTCAACCTTGACGATGATTGTCCAGTTTGCGCAGCCGTGATTGGCCGAGAAGCAGACTGCTAGTGGTGCGCACTTGGGCAGCGTTGCAATAGGCCATTACACACCCAGTATCGTTCGTAACACTCGAAAATTCAAGAAGTTCTTTATAAAAAAACGTTTCCCTCCAGATATCTAACCGACAGACCGATCGCCCTTATCGACTATGTGGATTGTGTGCCCCACAACAGGGTGAAAAAGGGGACATATGATTTTCGGAGCTGACTGCTACAAGATCACATAGGCCCTATGTTCTGTCGATAGTCAATCAATGTATGACTAGTTTCCATATTCCAGGAAACAACTGTACGTTCCTTCAAACGTCTCACACTAAGTGCCATATTTTTTACTGAATAAGATGCCTTTACGTCGGATTCATTTGTTCGTTCACTGTCCAGACGTTATCCCCGAAACCGATGCATAAATAACACTTTCTGTGGCAGGCGTTAAAATCTATATATATATATATATATATATGCTGCTATTATGACTTGGCCGACTTTGACCTGGTAATTGGTTGCCTGTTCGTGACCTTTGCCACCCATACGGAGCTTATTTGCTTCGTGAAGTCAATAGATCGCTGTGCGCCCTTTCCTGATTGAATATATATATATATGCAGTATGGTATTACCGACAAAGACAAGGGAGATTGGAATGGCCATCTCTGGCCATATATATAATGGTAGGGGGCGCTCACCTATCGTTCTTACGGAACTCACTCGTTCTGTTGTGCTTTACGGGCTCTCTCTCGAGCCTAACCAGCAGCCACACAGCGGCGCATGAGATAGGCAGTATGTTATTGCCGACAAGGACAAGGGAGACTGGAATGACCATTGCTGGCTTATTAGCCATCGTCAGCCAGTCATACCCAACCCGAAGTGTGCAACACCCGAGGCTCGAACTCGCGACCTGTTATTTAGAAGTCCACGCCTCTAACTACTGGGCCACAAGCCCGATGCCTTTGTCGGTAATGCCATTCTGCCTATATCGTGCGTCGCTGTGCTGCTTCTAGTTGGGCTTGAGAGAGCCCATAAGGTATAACGGAACGAGTGAGTGCCGTGAGAACGATCGGTGAGCGACTCCTACCATTATATATATATATATATGAGAAGATAAGGCGATCACAGGAACCATGGATTTATTTGCCTGACGTTTCGAAAGCAAACAAGCTTCCATCATCGGAGGTGGGTTGCGTACTGCACGTCACAGTATTTAAGGTTTTTTTTTCTTTCGTGCTGGCGTGTCACTGACTTCCAGCGCGCTGCATCACACGGTATGGCGATGGTTGTCATGGCGGCATCGGTTCCTCCTCATCCTTTGTCGGGTGTGGGGAGGGGGGCGGCGCCGGGGTGACCGCGGCCATTGCTCTTGTTTGTATTGTCCGTTGTCCGCCCTCGACGCATCTCGCCTTCCTGCCCCGTTCGCACCTGCCCGTATCCGCGTGGACGGTGGTTGTCATGCCACTGTTGACATCGGCCTGGGGGGTCCTGTCGCTGTCGGGGGATCTCGTCTCGCTGGTGACGCAAATAAACACGACGCTCACCATGCTACAAAATAATGGCGCGATGACGAGGGCAGAACGACTGGCCACCAAACCGACTGATGCCGCCATGGCAAGGTTCTATGGGCTGCCCAAAATACACAAAGATGGTGCCCCACTTCGTCCCATCGTATCCTTGCGCGGGACACCCACATTCAACCTGGCCAAATGGATGTTCCGACGCCTGAACTGCCTCACCTCGGGCTCCGACACGACGGTGCGCTCCTCCGTCCATTTCCTGGAAAGACTGAAAGGCCTGCAAATTAACACAGACGAGGTCATGGTGTCGTTCGATGTAACCTCGCTTTTCACCTCGATCCCAAAGGACTTGGCAGTCGAAACTGTCAGCGACCTCCTCGACAGCCAATACACGGAGGCAAACAATACCCCTAGGAGGGGGCACCTGGTGCAACTGCTTAAATACTGTCTCCAAACGTTCTTCACATTTGAAGGGACTGTGTACGAACAAATCAAAGGTACGCCGATGGGCTCACCACTATCCGGTTTCATCGCTGAAGCTGTTCTTCAAAAGTTGGAGACGTTAGTGTTCGCAACATATAAGCCAAAATTTTGGGCGCGGTATGTGGACGACACTTTCGTCGTTCTCAAACGGGAAATGGTCTCGAATTTCCACGCGCTACTGAACTCTGTTCTTCCCGATATTCAATTCACCATGGAGACAGAGAACAACAATCAGATCGTGTTTCTAGACGTTCTGGTCCATCGCAAGATCAACGGGAGCCTGAAAACCACGGTCTACAGGAAGGCCACTAACACTCGCCAAATCCTGTCCTATCACAGCAATCACCCGCTGTGTCACAAACGAAGCTGTGTTCGATCTCTCTACAGGAGAGCTGGCACTCACTGCAGCGAACCGACCGACAAGGTAGCCGAACTCCACTATCTACGGCGGATGTTTACCTCCAACGGTTACTCCCGCAGCTTCATAGAACGCAGCAGACAGTCCAGACCAACCGTAAAGTCAACGGCAAATCAGCCGAAAGTCTGGCGAGCGCTGCCATATATTGCGAACGTTTCCGAGGCAGTTGCTCGTATCTTGCAACCATTGGGTATCGGCATCGCCCACAAACCCGAAGCGACAATTAGACGTTTGGTCATGAGACCAAAAACGCCTCTGCCACGAGGCGAAACTGCCAACGTCGTCTACTGGATCCCGTGTAGTTCCTGTGAGGCAAACTACGTTGGAGAAACCGGGAAGAGATTGCAGACCCGCATGGACGAGCACGCAAGAGCGGTAAGAAGAATGGATCAGCTCTCGTTGGTGGCAGACCATTGCGCAGCTTTTGGCCACGCCTTCGTCAGACGAAATGAAAGCAAGGGAGAAAATTTGTTACTCTGGATCAATTAGCGCGACAGGACAAACAGACTATCGGCCTATGATGGGGATTGTTACAAAATTATGGTAGGTCTTTGAGCGAGGGGGGAGGTGGAACAATTATGGATGCCTGTGCTGGCGGGGGAGGGTGTAATGGTGGATCAATTGGACTCCGGTTGGCTAGATTAGCGACCGTTGCTGTGGCATTAGGGTGGGGGCAGTAAGTCGTGAGCACAGGCCCGGGTAATGGGCGTCCAGGTCAACATGGCGGTTGATACTACCAGCATTGGAGTACCTCGATCCGAAATGATTGCGGGTCAGTCGTGGTGGAGGAACTTGTAGCTACTTGAAACGAGCAGTCACATTTCTGCGCTACTTCATCCACATTTTTGCGCGGTGGAATGTATTTGGTGCTGGCATCAAGTTCCATATTTAAAGAATATTTTTTTGTTTCGTAGTTGTGTCTATCGCCTACCCAAAGCCTGCGAGGATTTTTATCTTTGTATCTTGCAGACGTCTTATTTTGCGGCCGATTTGAATTTCAAGTACCAATTGCTCGGAGGT